TTAAAAAACACTCTTAGTGTGTGTTTACAACTAGAGACAGAGAGCTACACAAAAGGGAGTTCTCTCAAATTTTGTATGTGCGTTGTATTGAGACATTAAATATAGTGAAACTCCTCTCTTGTCGTGGACGTAGAACAATTTGATCGAACCACGTAAATTCTTGTGTGCTTGTGTTTCTTGTTATTTTCTGTTTGGAGTTTTTATTTTGATATTCTTGTTCAAATCGCTACGGAATTATCTCAACAAACTGGTATCAGAGCTTCTCGGTTCTAGGATAGTTTTTAATCATCCACAATGGCTTCTGTGAAGTTCTTGGTGTCGATCTTCGATAGCCAGAACAATTTCGGCATATGGAGGATAAAGATGAAGGCTTTGTTGCGACGTGAAGACACAGAAGCTATCGATGGGAAATACCCAGAAGACATGACTAGTGTCGAGATCGAAGAGATGAACGAAAAGGCTCACAGCGTCTTGTAATTGCACTATCAGACAATGTGCTTCGTAAAGTTGCCGATGAGAAAACGGCAGCGGGGTTGTGGTCAAAGCTCGAAAGTCTCTACTTAAAGAAATCTCTTACTACGAGATTATACATGAAGCAGCGGCTATACACATTGAAGATGAAGGAAGGTACACCCATTCAGGAACACCTTGATGAATTTAATAAAATTATCATGGATACGAAAAACTTAGATCTAAAGCTTGATGATGAAGACCAGACTCTCATTGTGTTGTGTTCCTTGCCTGACTCTTATGAAAACTTTGTCAACTCTATGTTGTATAGAAGAGAATCCATAAGTCATGAGGATGTGAAGGCCTCTTTGAATTCTGCTAAGTTAAGAACAAAGTTGAATGTGTGAGGTACCGATAGGCAGACTGATGGTCTGCTAGCCAGAGGTAGAACGAAGACCAGAGAGGGTGATAAAGGGCAACCCAGAAATCGTTCAAAGTCCAGGTCAGCCCAAAACAAGAAACATATGGAGTGTTTCTATTGTCACAAGAAAGGACATTACAGGTCAGAATGCTATACTCTAAAGAAGAAAGACAACCAACGTGGTGAAACCTCAGATTCAGCTAATACAAAAAAGGCTGATATTGTCGTTGCTGAGACAATTCTTGCAGTTTGTCCCTTGGATGGCCGTTCCGATAGAGAATGGATCTTGGATACAGGTGCGTCTTATCATATGTGTCCAAATAAAGATTGGTTCACTACTTACAGATCTATAAGTGCCAGATTAGTTTTGATGGGCAACAATGCAGTTTGCAAGACAGTTGGCATTGGTACAGTTCGCATCCAGTATCACAATGGGATAGTGAGAACTTTATCAGATGTGAGACACATCCCGGACTTAAAGAAAAATCTAATTTCTTTGAGTTTTTTGGATTCTATTGGGTGTTCTTACACTGGTGGAGGTGGAGCTCTTAGAGTTACTAAGGGTTCATTGGTTGTGATGAAATATAGTAAAGTGAACAGTCTTTATGTTCTCCAAGGCAGTACGGTGATAGGCTCTGCAGGTGTGCCCTCTGATGCTGATAGGGACACTACTCAGTTGTGGCACATGTGCTTAGACCACATGAGTAAGAAGGGGATGACTATTTTGAGTAAACGTGATTTACTCTGTGGTGACCATACATCATCACTTGATTTCTGTGAGCATTGTGTGTTTGGGAAGCAAACTCGGGTCAGCTTCTCGACTGCCTCGCATACGACGAAGGGCATTCTTGACTATATCCATTCAAATTTGTGGGGACCTGCTCAGGTTACATTCAAAGGTGGTTCTCTCTATTTTCTGATGTTTATTGATGATTTTTCAGGAAAGTTTGAGTTTACTTTCTCAGGCGCAAAAGCGAGGTGTTCGAAACTTTCAAGAAGTGAAAAGTACTTGTTAAAAATCAAACTGAAAAGAAGATTAAACGTCTCCAAACAGATAATGGCCTAAAGTTTTGTAGTGGTGAGTTCAATCAGTTCTGCTCAAATTTTAGGATCGTACAACATCGCACGATCAGGCAAACTCCTCAGCAAAACAGGGTGGCAGGATACATGAATAGAACGTTGACAAAGAGAGCTAGGTGTATGCTCTCAAACTCTGGGTTGGATAAAGACTTCTAGGCTGAAGCTGTTAACACAGCTTGTTACTTGATGAACCGGTCTCATTCTACCACATTGAACACAAGACTCCAAATGTGGTATGCTCAGGTAAACCAAATGACTATTCAAATTTAAAGGTATTTGGATGTCCCGCTTATTATCATGTTAGAGAGGATAAGCTTGAGCCTAGAGCTAAGAAATACATATTTATTGGTTATGCTGATGGCGTTAAAGGCTATCGTTTGTGGAGTCTTGAACCTGATTCTCCTAAATTCATTATTAGTAGAGATGTTACTTTTAATGAAAGATATATGCTTGATCATGGGAAGGTTTCTGTTGAGTCTACAGGAAATATAGAGAAGATCATGGATAAGGTGGAGCTTCAGGTGGAGCTCGAGGGAGAGACTTCTAAAAAATCGTCTATAAAAATTGCTCCTACAGTTGTAAAAGAACAACATGATTCAGGCTCAGATGATGATGATTGAGACTGAAGAACCTTATTCCATAGCCACTGGCAGAGAGAGGAGACAGATCAGACCTCCTCAAAGATTTGCACATGTTGAATTAGTGGTGTATGCTCTCACGACAGTTGAAGAGGTGTATTCAAGAGCCATCAAACTTTACTGAAGCTATCTCATGAGGAGAATCTGGACGTTGGGCCACGGCTATGACAGAAGAACTCGAGTCACTTTACAAGAATCAGACTTGGGATTTAGTGCAATTATCTAAGGGGAAAAGGGCAATTGGATGCAAGTAGATTTTCAAGAAGAAAGAAGGGATCCCAGGGGTTAAAGATGCTAGATTCAAAGCACGAATGGTAGCTAAGGGTTATAGACAAAAGAAGTGAATTAACTATGATGAAGTGTTTTCTCCGGTTGTGAAGCATATCTCCATACGTGTATCGTTTGTCATGGTTGCTCTATTTGATCTGGAGCTTGAACAGCTTGATGTGCAGACTGTATTTTTGCATGGCGAACTTAAGGAGACTATCTACATGTCTTAGCTAGAGGGATACTTCGTAGAAGGTAAAGAAGATCAAGTTTGCAGATTGAAGAAATTTTTGTATGGCCTAAAGCAATCTCCCAGCCAGTGGTACAAGAGGTTTGATAATTTTATGCTTAGTCATGGGTACTCAATAAGTACTTATGATAGTTGTGTGTACTACATGCATCTAGGAGATGATCTTTTATTTATCTTCTATTATATGTCGATGACATGCTTATTGTTGCTAAGAACATATCGCAAATTCTTATTTTGAAGAAACAACTCAGTGATGAGTTTGAGATAAAAGATCTTTGTGCAGCAAAGAAGATATTAGGTATGAAGATCAGGAGGGACAGGAAAGCTGGAACATTATATCTCTCACAGAAGAGTTATATTAAAAAGGTGCTTGAACGCTTTTGGATGAAGAGGACCAAACCCGTTACGACTCCTTTGGCTCCTCACTTTAGGCTCTCGGCTTCAGATTCACCTACAAATGAGAATAAGAAGAAGGAGATATCCCGAGTTTCATACTCTAATGCAGTGGGTAGCATTATGTATGCTATGATTTGCACTCGTCCACACATTGCCCATGTAGTCAGTGTAGTGAGCAGATACATGGCTTAACCAGGGAAAACATACTGGGAAGCAGTGAAGTGGATCCTTCGGTATCTCAGGGGTACCTCAGATTTGGGTTTAGTTTTTGATAACAGTACTTTGGGAACCTCAGTTGTAGGTTTTGTGAATTCTGACTATGCAAGTGATCTCGATAAAAGGAGATCTTTGACTAGTTATCTTTTTACTCTTTCTAGCTCAGCTATTAGTTGGAGATTAACTCTACAGTCGACGGTTACTTTGTCTACTATAGAGGCAGAATACATGGCGGCAGCAGAAACGGTAAAAGAAGCCATTTGGTTGAGAAATCTCGTAAGGGAGCTTGGACTTCAGTAGGAGGCTAGTTCATGTATTTTGCTAAGCAAAAACTCAGCACATCATGAGAGGACAAAGCATATTGATGTCAGATATCATTTCATTCGTGAGGTAACTGCTGAAAGCAGCACATCATGAGAGGACAAAGCATATTGATGTCAGATATCATTTCATTCGTGAGGTAACTGCTGAAATAAACATCACGATGAAGAAGATTGGTATTGCAGACAACCCAGCTGACACGTTGACCAAACCGATCCCGGTCTTCAAGTTCAAACATTGCTTGGATTTGGAAGGCATTCACACCTGTTAGATGGCCCCGTGTTGGGGCAATGTGTGCAAGAGGGGTTGAGGTTCACTGGTTCTATTATGAAGTGAACTCTCACGTAAGCTTAGACATGTGTTCATGATGAATATTCAACTTCTTGATGTTTGAAAATTCAATCCAAGGTGGAGATTGTTGATATTGGCTTGAATTTGGCCAAATGGCTAGAGCCCATTTTGTTTTGAAAGGGAGAACACAAAATTTGACTTCGGGGGGTCAATAATGAGGAAATCTTATATTCACTAAATGATGAGATTTTCTCTTTGGCAGAAGCAACAATCGCTTTCAAGCAGAGAGTCATTTTCAACAATTGCGGCTGATTTGAGCCGAAGAAAATGATAGAGAGAGGTCGTTGTCAAGAGGTCGCCCTCACTTCTTTTCTCCTGTGAGATTCTTGCAATCTCTCACTCTCTCTTAAAAAAAACTCTCAGTGTGTATTTACAACTAGAGACAGAGAGCTACACAAAAGGGAGTTCTCTCAAATTTTGTATGTGCATTGTATTGAGACATTGAATATAGTAAAACTCCTCTCTTGCCGTGGACGTAGATCAATTTGATTGAACAACGTAAATTCTTGTGTCATTGTGTTTCTTGTTATTTTCTGTTTGGAGTTTTCATTTTGATATTCTTGATCAAACCGCTACGGAATCATCTCAACAAATATTAACTTGCACATACCTCTTCTATTTTATTTTCTGCTTCCATTGGCTCAAAGTCGAGCTGCACCTGAATCCTTTCAGCTTCTTCCTTTTGGTGCTCAAGTTCTTTTCTCAGAGATTCTAATTCCAACTTTAACTTTTCCTTCTGAAGAGAATAGTGATGTACAATGGACAGCATCTTTCTCATTTCTGAAAAAGAAAGAATATAATACAGTATGACTATTACATTTATGATTTGTCATTTACAGTATGACTATTACATTTATGATTTGTCATTTTACGGATAAAAAGGCACTTCATAACTGAACGACATTCAAGCCAACATTTGCAGCTGATCCAAGAAAATGGCATTAGATTGAACATTCAGCACATAGTTATGCCTAATCGTCAAGAAAAATTGGTAGCTCCTTTTAACAGTTTATAGAAATAAATGGAGAATTCAATATCAGGATATAAAAAGGATAGCAATATATATCTGCAGGCGTGTGCTATCTTAAGATGTAGATTAAAATCCTATTATGCAACAACTTGATCAATCATCCTTTGGCAGGTTGACCCTACATGCAGCACTGTCAGTTTTGCTAAAATATATGGTTCTGCGGCTAAGAAAACAGACTGAAGGTTTTTGTTTACTCTTATGTGCTTAAGAAAACTATTTAAGAGCCTATATATGGGCTTTGGTGTGAGTTGACAATTGAAACTTTAGTTGTGATTTGTTTATCAATTATTATACAGTGTGGATATACGTATATATAATAAAGACTACTACTATATTGTTTACATTGAAAATTCCTGTAAACTAACTTAATCTTCCACAAATATGCAGGACAATCATTGGGATGGATTCTTTTAACAAACAATATCAGAAGTACAAAATACAAACCAAGTGCTGTAAATTTGAATATATGGCAGATGTTAAATTTGTCATATGTTGACCTTAAATTAGCAAACCATATTAAGCTGATATAATTCAACTATGTAGTGAACATTAAGCTATGTGGCAAACATGCACACCAGATAAGACATTAGCAAGTAGGAAAAAGTCAAAGAGTAATTTCAAATGGCGAATTGCACCAGGCAATCAGTAAGAATAGAATTTGTAGATGGAAAAATGAATGCAGATTCAAATCTATTCAAGATAATAGTTCTGCTCCAACGAAGAAATTTTGTGGGAATTTATCTTTTGACAACACCATTTCCAGTACTACTTCAGCCAAATAAAAATTCTGAATAAAGCTTCGATAACATTTATTTTAGTTGGTGCAAATGGTGGACAGAAAAATAAAACACTAAGTAAGGAAATAATTCAAATGAAACACTAAGGAAAAATAACATTCACTTCCAGTACTTGGACAATAGTAAGGAAATAATTCAAATGAAACACTAAGAAAATAATTGTTTGTTTCAGCAGAATAATTCAAATGAAACACTAAGAACGTAATTGATTGCTTCAGCTGACAAATATGAACTATTCAGCCATAAAAGCAAACATTGCACTGAAGTTTCTATATGATATTGAAATTTCAGCTGTAACAATTTGACATATAAATTTCTGTTACTAGTTCCTACCTATTAAATGCATATACTCTATGTAGGCATGACTTGGCTTACAGTACATAGCCATTTTAAATAAAATATTTCAATCTTTGGATTATCTTATAGGTCATATGTAATCAAAATTTTCGGAAATGACCCTTGTGAGTTCTCCTAGTTGCACATGGGTTACTTCTCCGTTAGATGAGATGAAAATATGTGCATCAAAAAGGTAGCATTAGCTAGCTGCTTGGCCAATTTACCTCCACCTTGTTAGCTTAGAGCGCACCGAACTACGATGGTGATGAAAAGCTTCAGATGACAAGTTATGAACCATGATAGTTGATAGTGAAATGAATACCTTGAATATCATAATAAATGAATTTTTTGGCCATCATATCTAAGGAAAATGCAAGAACATGTGGTCTTATGCTTTTGCAGAGTTGTAATTTAATAGAAAAGCAAAATCTATTGTTCATGAAGAATGAAAAAGTATCAATAGTAGAAGAATAACCTTCAACATATGCTCCATGCAGCTTACCTTTTTCTTCCATTGCCTGTGCATGAGCGGAGTTAACCCCATTATACTTATGCTTAAGTTCTATGAGTTGTTTATTCTTCACATCAACTTCATGGACTAGCCTCAGAACAAGTTTGTTCAGTTTGCATATTTCTTCACCAGCCATGAAACAACCTGTGTTCACAGGTAAAGTTACTGGGAACACTGCAAACAATTTGAAGAAATAGGTTCAGGTAGCTTCAAATAGGTATAATACTTCTTAAAAACAGAATTTGCTTAACTCATAAACCAGCAAATCATCAAAGAGCAAAACCAGAATTGAAATTAGTTCACTCCAATGTATCAGAAATATTAAAAGATAAGTTGAATTGCATTATATATTGTCTATTTATATCATTATATGTCAGGATAAGGGTTAAATATATGTGTCATCAGCAAGTGTTACATTCTTCTTCATCCCCACCACCACGCGCACACGCAAATCATCCACTTGCATGGACACACGTACATGCACAGGCACAGGCAAAGATATATCTCAATAAAATACAAGTACCTACAGATAGGGAACAGTAAGTTGAATACAAGGAGATGGGTGAAAAGAGAGACAGAAGATCAGATTTATATGTCCTGTTTCCAGACTCAACCAAAGATATACCCCACTAGAACCCCAAAGTATGTATTGGCAACCATTTTGGAGCCCTCCAAACACCTGTTTCTCAACATAAACCATTTGACTTTAAGATTCTGGTACATTAGACTACACACAAAGTAAATCTTTTTTTTTTGGGGTGGGTGGGGGTGGTGGTGGGGGGGTGGTGGGGGTGGGTGGGGTGGGTTGGGGGTGGGTGGGGAGGGGGGGTAAATTTCGCAAGCCTTTGCCCATTTTCAGGATAAGTACCCTTAACTTTAACAATATCACAAAAACCGCATAAGTTTGGCCAATCAGATAACACCCCTAAACTTAAAAATATCACAAAACCTCCCTTTAACACAGCTAGATTTGATTGTGCATGTAAAAATAATGTGCGTGAAAATGATCAAACTGCTCCTGATAAAAATAGCACTTTCGTGCCCTTTTAATCATTATAAAGGTAATTCACATAAAAAACGCTTCAGTTAGAGTTAGGGATTAGATTAATTTAATTAAATTTAATACTTATAGTGTTAATTTCAAAAAAACATTTTAGTCTTTTCACTACTTCAATAACACTTCAGTTTTGTTTGGTGTGGTGGTGGGGGTGTGTGGGGGGGGGGGGGGGGGTCTGAAACACCGCCAAACTCTAGGATTTTAACTCATTTTGAAAGTTTAGGGGGGTTATCTCAAAATAGGCCAAACTTAAAGGGCGTTCAGTGACACTTCTAAAGTTAAAGCTAAGGGGGTTATCTCAAATCCAAACCTACTGGGGGTTTTGTGAAATTTATACTTCTTTTTTTAATTTCAATAGCTCAATCCCTAAATCAACGTTGAAAAAAGGGAAAGCATCAAGGGAAACTTTATATCATAAATGTTAGATCTTTCTTTTTCCCCCCTTCAGAACAAACATACATTATCAATAATAATGTTAATAACTATGAATGTGATGCGAAATATCAAAATACACCAAATAATGAGCAAGAATTCGTGAGATCGCACCTTTTTTTTTATATTTGTGTATTTTTCTTTATTTGGATCTAAGCTTAGAGGGGAAAAATATAAATATGAGAGAGAGGAAAGGGAGGAGAAAGGTGGAGGACTGTCCTCAGTAAGAACCCTAAAAAACTTGACACGATCACTCAAAAATTAGACAAACCCTAGAAATATCTGAGCTGATAATGAGAGAAAAAGGATAAATGTAGCATAAAAGGTTCGATCTTTCATATCTTTCCTTCTTTTCTTCAGACTAACTACACATCATCCACAATAATTTTAACAACTATGAATAATATTTGAAAACATCAAAATACACCGAATAATGAGCAAGGACTCATAAGATCGGACAAAATTTTCAGCAAATTCAGGTATTTCCCTTCAATTCGATCAAAAACCAGAGGGGAAATTTTTGAAAAAAAAATAGAGGAGGGGGATTGTACCTGGAAAGCGAGGAGAAAGGGCAGAGGCTTTTCCGCACAAGAAATCCCAGAGAAGTTGACTACTTGATCTTGGAAATTGAGGAAACCCTAGAAAAGATTGAGCTGATATCAATAATAGCAAAATAGAGAAAGGGAAAACAGAGCTACTGTACTTTCAAGAGCATCGAGGGCGGGAATGGCAAGAAGGGAATAATTGATGGAGGAGAGAGAGAGAGAGAAACGATGGGGTTCGTCATTGTTTTGTCGGGATTTGAGCTTTGTTGGGCCGGGTCAGATCCACGAACTGTGAGGCCCAGACCCAGCAACAGAGATATACTTTTGGAAAGCCTTGTATTTTCTTTTTCCTTTTTTTTTCTTTTTTTTGAAAAGTTGGAAAGCCTTGTAATTGAATTACTCATAAGAAATTACTCATGACGTGAGATAATAAAGAAAGCAACAGATACAATAGATTAACTAGTTGCATGTAAAAATTTAATAATAATAATAATAATAATAATAATAACTTGATTACAAAAGTGGATAAGCTAAGTCAAAATCTCATTATTTAATGTCAATTAAATATTGAACAATAACAGCCATAGTCCAAAAGCCAAAGCCTACGAATATCCAAAATATCTCGCGAAATATCCCTCGGTTAGTTCTCGGTTAATCCCAGTGGCGGATCTGTTCTTGTTCAAAGTGGTTCATTTAAATCACCTCAGATTTTGAAATAGTATATATATCATATATGTTAGTTTTTGAACAAATATAATTTGTAGCCTAGTGGTATAAGCATTAGCTTACCTTCAAAGAGGTCAAAGGTTCAAAACCTCTACATCCTCTTTTATGTTTCTAATTTCTCCTATAATCCTTATTTTCTCTTTACTTTTCTACTTTCTCCTATTTTCTCTTTATTATTATTTGTTTATTATTTTTATGTTTTCCTTAGTAGTATTTGAAAAAAAAAATTAGCGTTAATTTCGAACCACCACACGAGAGGTTGTGGATCCGCCACTGGTTAATCCCAATAAACAACAAGTACCTGAACATTTTGATACTACGTAAAGGCATACAACCGAATAGGTTTCGATATCATTTGGCTTGATATTCATCTGTGATAAATGGCTGGGTCTTCTTGACAAAACACCCCGCAACAAAACCTATATTATTGTTTTCAAAATAACAAAAAGGCAAACCACTTAGTCGGCCTAACATGTCTCAAAATAGGGGGGTTTTCCCTATGATGGCAAAATGAACCCAAAACCAATTGCCCACCCATACCCACCCGTCAAATGAACCATCCAAACCCACCCATTTAGTTAAATGGGCCATAAATGGGTGGGTATAGTTTTTATTAAAGATAAATGGGTCATTAATGGGTGGGTTATTACCCACCCATTTACCCTTTTAGATGGATATTGTTTTAAAAACACCCTCAAGGCTTAAACAATTACAAAAATTTTTTTCAAAAGTTAAAAATTATAGAAAACACTTAAAATGACTAACAACCCCTTAAAATTTTAAGATTTGCAAAAAACACCCTCAAAGTTTAAAATATTATAAAAACGCCCTCAAGAGTTAAAAATTATAAAAAAACTATCAAAATTTTCTAACCTCACAGATGACACATGAAATTCAAAAATTACCAACAGCCCCCTGAAATTTTATAATTTGCAAAAACACCCTTAAAAGTTGTAGAAAATGAGAAAAACACCCTCAAGACTTCAAAATTACTAAACAATCTTAGAGTTTTCTAAACTTGCAAATGACATATGAAATCTAAAAAATTTCAATAGTCACCTATAAATTTAAAATTTACAATTAACACCCTCAAAGTTTTAAATTTTTAGAAAAACATCCTCCATAGTTTAGAATTACAAAACCATCCTGAAATTTTAAAACCTACAAATGACACATGAAATCCAAAAATTACTAGCAACCCCCTGTAAATTTATAATTTACAAAAAACACCCTCAAAGTTTAAAAATTACAAAAAACACCCTCAAGAATTCAAAACTACAAAACAATCTTAGAATTTTCTAAACTTGCAAATGACACATGAAATCTAAAAAAATTTGGTAGTCCCCTATAAATATCAAATTTGCAAGTAACACCCTCAAATTTTTAAAAATTACAAAAAACACCCTCAATGATATATAAATATAAAAAGTAGGCGCTCATAATTCTTCGTCGGCAGGAGATATATGCGTATGCGGCCAAGTGTAATTTGTCACATGACCAAAGTAAGGGCTTTTTTAAATAACCGAGCAGGTAGTAAACTAGACTTGTTACGAGTCTATCTCTTCTTTTGCTCAGCCCTGTCATCATTTGCTTCTTTTCCTCACAATTCTGTCCTAATTTTCTGAAGTAGTCGATTCAATTGAGAAAGAAATATTTATAGAAAACCCCCTGAAAGTTTGTAGAAAATCTCCTAAAAGTTTGCAGAAAACCCCCTAAAAGTTTACAGAAAACACCTTGAAAGTTTATAAAAAAAACCCCAGAAAGTTTACATAAAACCCCTGAAAGTTTGTAGAAACCCCCCTAAAAGTTTGCAAAAAAACCCCCTGAATTTGTAGAAACCCCCCTAAAAGTTTGCAAAAAAACCCCCTGAAAGTTTACTGAAACCTCCTAAAAGTTTGCAAAAAAACCCCTAAAAGTTTACAGAAAACCCCTAAAAGTTTGCAGAAAACCCCCTAAAAGTTTGCAAAAAACCCCCTGAAAGTTTGCAGAAAACCCCCTAAAAGTTTGCAAAAAAACCCCTGAAAGTTTGCAAAAAACCCCCTGAAAGTTTGCAGAAAACCCCCTGAAAGTTTGCAAAAAACCCACTGAAAGTTTACAGAAAACCCCCTGAAAGTTTGTAGAAAACCCCTAAAAATTTGCAAAAACCCCCCTGAAAGTTTGCAGAAAACCCCCTAAAAGTTTGCAGAAAACCCCCTAAAAGTTTGCAGAAAACCCCCGAAAGTTTGCAGAAAACCCCACTAAAAGTTTGCAGAAAACCCCCTAAAAGTTTGCAGAAAACCCCCTTAAAGTTTGCAAAAAAACCCTAAAAGTTTACACAAAACCCCCTAAAAGTTTACAGAAAACCCCCTAAAAGTTTGCAAAAAAACCCCTGAAAGTTTGCAGAAAACCCCCTGAAAGTTTGCAGAAAACCCCCTGAAAGTTTGCAGAAAACCCCCTGAAAGTTTGCAGAAAAACCCCTGAAAGTTTGCAAAAACCCCCCCTGAAAGTTTGCAGAAAACCCCTAAAAGTTTGCAGAAACCCTCCTGAAAGTTTACCAAAAATCCCTGAAAGTTTGCAAGTAGATCCCTGAAACTTACATATATATATAAGCATCATAATCATAACTAAATGGGTTATTGGGTTACCCATGAACCACCCATTTAGTAAATGGGTGGATGAGAACCAACCCATTTAGCAAGTGCTAAATGGGTCATAAATGGTTAAGTGGTCATAAATGTGCCCACCCATTTATGACCCAACCAAAACCCAACCAAAACCATCCATTTGCCATCCCTAGAAACAATCTTAACAATAGGGTAATCATCCAGAAACCGCCTTTCATTTTCAATTTGGACTTAAACCACTTTTAAAGTTGGGTTTTTGTTGCTAGCAACCACCTCCTAATCAAATTTTCGCTAAAAACCCAAAAATAAGCTTTAAAAAATTTCAAGTTCAAGATACGCGAGTTGTATCCTAATAGAACCTAAACACTAAAAAAAATGAGTCGTATACATCTAATGCGCTTTTTTAAAGGTAATTTTGGGCTTCAAGTGAAGAATTTGACTGGGTGGTGGTTGATTGCAATAAAAATCAACTTTAAAAGGTGGTTCATGTTTAAATCCGAGAATGAAAGGTGGTTTCCGTATAAAAATCAGTTGGTTTCTAGAGAACAGAAAAAACCCTTCAAAATAACAAAACTTCATTCAGTAGCCTGGGGGAAAATTTTACTGTGTTAATCTGTAACCCAGGGGAAAACTCAAAATGCATGGTAGACTAAATGGGGATCTACAGGGTGAGCAAATTTGAAAGGTGCACGGACGTTGTACTGCCAGCTTAGAAGTTTTCAACATCAAGCTTTGGACTTTTTCTCGGTAACCCCATCTTTTAACTGCAATCAGAGAGTGGAAGATAAACATTAGGAAAATGGTACAGGCACACCCTCAGGCACACCTTGTGCCACACCCCCTCTCTCAGCTACAGTGCACAGGGCCCACACATGAGAGTATTTAATCTCATGTGTGGGCCCCGTGCACTGTAGCTGAGAGAGAGGGTGTGACACTATGTGTGCCTGATGGTGTGCCTGTAGTGCCACCCTAAACTTATATATGTGAAGAAAAGCTAAAGTTATATATACAGAAAATAAGGGTACAACTTGATGAAACAATTCAAGTTAAAGCTGAAAAAAAAAAGAGCATAGAACGAGATCAGTGAAGGTTGCTTTAGCTCCCTAAACCCATATATAATTTGATAGCACGCATTGCTTCTGGGCTCGTACTGAAAGAACTAATATTGCTTGTATTAATGTTTGAGTAGAGTTATTCATACTGAAATCCTAATTTGACTCGATCTCCTAGAAAAAAACTGAGAGGTTAGTTCTTTCAGTAAGAAAATGGTGAAAGAATTAAATTTATTTATATCAGTTTGTTTTTTAGAGCGGGAATGGAAAAATAATATAATAATTAAGTGGAGGAGGAAAAACTTCGGTGTCGTCTTTTCTTCCTCGTGGTTGCAGTCGGATTGGGTTGGGCCGACTCATAACTGAGGCCCAGATTTGTTCAACCAACGTATCCGATGAGAAAATATCGGAAAAATTCTCCTATAGGAGGTGCCCTACAAAAGCAACTTGGGAGATTACATTCTAATTGTTATGGCACCCGTTTTAATGTTGATGAACTACTCCCTGCGTGATTTTATATGGCTAAATGACACTTAATTACCTTATTGCCTCCCAGCTTTGCGCTAAAATATCCTAAGTTGTAAAAAATAATACTTTAATATCCTAAGTTGTAAAAGAACGGTACTTTTATCCTTGAAGTTGTAAAAAACTAGCACATTAGTACATTCTGCTGGTTCACATGGGAATATTCCAATATGATTAGCACATGTTATTTTTATAATTATATTAACCCTGTTTATTGTTATATTTTTTACGTCTATGTCTACCCTCTACCTTTTTATTAATTTCAATAGAGGATATTTTTGACATATTGGGTTTTTCTAACAATGTCTACCATATTCTAATGGTGGTTCACGAATATTTGTGGTCTAACTTTTACAACTTAGAATGATCAAGTAAAAAAATGGTGAAGCAATAGAGTATTTATGTGCAATTTAGTCACTTAATATTGAGGGCCTCTGTCGCATTCATCTTTTCCCCGGGTCCAACTATTCACACTTCCAAACAGTAACTTTGGGGGTGTGTGAGGACTAAATTGCCCTTCTCCCAAACCAAACTAGGCCAAGTCCAAAAGGGTATTTTCGGCAATCTAACTCCCAAAGTTACTGTTTGGGAGTGGATATAGCAAACATGCTTTTCCCCGTCTACTGGGACTTTAGTTGTCCATTATAGTTAGTTCTCTTTTTTCTTTTGGTCTTATATTATTATTTTCTCATTTTTTTTTTATCTTTTCATATGAGGAGATTTTATTTTATTTTATTTTTTTATGTTAAAAAAATTTACGATCATTCTCCAGCTATACCAATATCTTGGAAAAAAAACATCAGAGCTCAATTTTTAATTGTATAGCAATATGGTTTGTAGTAACTAGTTGCATAAACAACTTGATTTCAAAATTGGTAATTTTCAAATCTCAATATTAGTGCTAAAAGATGCTTAAAGTTCCATCTGCAATAAAAATCAGGTAAATAATTTCAAGATTTTGACATAATTATCAACAAGCTTATGTCCTCTGCTTCATCTTTTTGCGATCCAAATTTTAACTGAATGCAAAGAAAGAGAGCTCAATCACATTTGCATTGTTAAAGGATTAAACTCTAGATTGAACTACACACCCTTCATACTTCAAGAATCAAAGACAAACAGAAACAAATAGTTAATAGAAGAATATACACATCCAATACATTGTGACAATTTCTTCTAAATTAGTTCTCGAGTTCTGGACAGAATCCTAATAAACCAGTACTCAAAACATTCCCATACTATTTCTCAGAAACACGAAAACGTCAAAGGAGGGCGGTAACTTCCAGTACATACTGGTATACAACCAAATAGATTTCGATATCATTGAACTCGACATTAATCTGCGATTCTTAAGCAAAACTACATAAGTTGCAATAAGATTCCTCTCAGGAAAATAACCAGCATAACAAGAAGTACGAAGAAAAAGCTCACACTGATTGGCCAGCAAAAATTAGTCTACGTTTCTGCTTGCTTCATTTAGTAATAATGTATGTGAATTTTACTATGTTAATCGGTAAACCAGAGAATATCTCAAATTCGGCCAAATGGAAGTCTACATGGTTAGCATATTTGAAAGTGCACGAACAGTATAGTACCAGCTTCCTCCAGAATTTTTCCACATCAAGCAATGAACTTTTCTCAGCAACCCTGTCTTTCAAGTACTGCCATCAGAGAGTGGAAGATAAAAGCCATGTTAAAAAAGCAGTGGCAAAAAAGCTAATTATATAGCAATCTGAGAATATAACTTAATCTATAATTCAAGGTAAAGCCTAAAACAAAATGACGACGGGAAGTTCTGAAGTGCACGATTAGTGAAGGTTATTTACATCCCTAAACCCGTAATTTGATAGGCGTTACTTCTGCGCTCATATTGAAACAATTAAATTTTACTGGTAATTTGTGTAAGGTATTCAGAGAGGCGTACGAGAATAAACAGTCACAAATGTAAAAGTTCCAGCTTCCCATCATTACATATCAAAGAGGCTCTCACCAAATCATGCTGCTTGTGGGCATGACTTGGTGGTTAAGCAGCGGGTTAATTATGGAAAGCATGGGGTTCAAGATCGCGTTACAGTCTTTGTTTAAAAAGCATTTGTATTGACTATCTCACACGTCAGAGAGGGTGTATCCCCTCATCCCTAAACTTCTATAGCCTATTTTGACAACGGCAAAGTAACCAGGTTTTGGTCCGGTAGAACGCAGTAATCTTAAATGGCCAAGTGCATCCAATAATTTCAGAATCTGGTATGTTGTTATAAAGAATTAAGGTGTAGACTTGTTTTTCATACGACAATTCATAAAGATGCCACAAGCTGATACAGTACAGGAAAAGTTCGGTGCTCGGGGAAAACTAGGACCCACAAAGGAAAAGGAGCAAGGGAAGGACATATCGAGGAAGGAAACAAATATTTGAAGTCCAAAAAGCTATTTAAAAGAGAACGTGAGGTATAAAAAAAATTCTATCAAGTTTATTTTGTTAGCAGAAACCATAATAATATTGAAAGAATAAGATCATAAAGCAATCATTGTATCTCTCATATAAAGCTTCTATGCAAATCCTCCATTGGCATCCTAGAGTTTTGAAGTAGGAAAACAAATGGTTCATCCATTAGACAAAACAAGGCACATTATAAACAGTTTTTTTATGCACTCACCGCTTACGCTTGAGAGTTTTCAACTGTCTCATTACATGTGCTATGCCCTCTTTCAATGTTGCTCTGCGGCTTTCTTTAAAATTCCAAAGTTCAGATATAGTATATCTGCCACTAGGATTATATTCATTCATCTCCAGCAAGGCTGTAGTCACAGCCCCGTAGACGCCGTCACCCAATTCATTTTTCAGTGCCTGCAATTTCTCATCGTCCTCCTTTATTACTTCCTGCATCACAGCATACCATAATTCATAATGAGTTTACACTAAAAATAACACAATCAAATTCTCAAGAACATATGTTTAACATATATCATGTCTATCACAAAAAAGAGCTAGAATTCTTGCGGGAGGACTTGGGCCTAAATTCTATCAATTTTTCAATTAGATAAGAGAAGTACTCACACTACAAAGAGATCCTATTTTGATAGTTCTCTGAGACTTGGATTTGGGGTTCAAAAGAAATATAGATTGCCCAATACCCCAACGTGATTGAAATTTCTTGTGTAATAAGTGGTAAAAACTAGATATTTTTCAGTATGCAAGTTTAGTATTTTCCTTTCATTGAGTAAGTTCAGGCTTAAACGCTTCTTTCTGGAGAATATAGGATAGAGATGTTCCGAAAGCATCATAATATAGATATCAAGAGGTCTTTACATACCAAGCATTACCAAATACCTTCAGCTCTCCATGTCTCAAGATCTGGTTCTACTTTCTATTTTCGATTTGTAGATTTGACAAATAGTTAGGAGACTAATTTTAGGAGATTAATTTGGTTTGGTCAACAGGCAATTAAAACCTGTTAGTGTGATGGGTTTACATATTCAGTGGCTTGCCGACTATCTGTATACTGCTTGTATAGGAGTTGCAAATTCTCTATATGCTGTAAACATTAAATTATGGAGCTAACTCACTTAGATGGTTGAATGAACTAATAATGTTACATTAAACCATATAATTTAAATGTTCAAACTATTCTCACAATATGCAAATCTGGATACAAGGAAGAAAACATTAAACCATATAATTTAAATGTTCAAACTATTCTCACAATATGCAAATCTGGATACAAGGAAGAAAATTTAGAGGAAATAATACTCTTTTGTTTGCTTCGGGAACAATTTCCTTTGCGGTTTCCATTAAATCGTTTAAAAGAAACAAAAGAATAAGCTTTACAAGTGTAACTCTCTTCCTCACAAAGAAAACAAAATTTCACTCCCTAGTAATACGTACAGAAACTCCTACATAGTAGTTTCTGCTTGCATGGGATTCTTTGCCTATGCCGGGGATGCGTTATCCGTGGACCACTGAGCGACGTTTCCATGTCGGAGACGAAGAAGGTTTGGGGTTAATATTTCAACAATGAAATAAGAACCGAAGTATCTTAGCAAAGTAAGACTAATACTCTTCTAAAGATTAAGTCAATGCTTAACCTCAAGGAAATACCAAAAGACTTCGAGAATACTCGCGAATGGGTTAACAACTCTCTCTTGCTCTCAAAATTCGCCAAATGCTAGCTTTGTTTTTTGCACAAGTGTGTAGAAGGGTAGTTATAGGGGTAGGAGACCATAACCGCCAAAAATTATGCGAACAGAACCGTAGAAACTATCTTATGCTTGCGAGACAGTTTCCACTGTCTCGGCCAAAGGGGACAGTGGCAGAGATTTTATAACTGCTCCCCCCTACCTTAAAGTGCGTTAATTAGCGCACTTTTCCAGGGTAGTGGGCGTGTTTCCAGGGTGTAACTGCTCATGCACGTTAGTGGGCTTCCTCACGTGAGTATGGAGTCAAATAGGCCCATAAGTTGCTTCAGTTTCTTGACTTCCGGTAATGCGACGTCGCTGACCGTATGTCGAAATCAGAAACTGTAGTTGAATTGTTGGTATTTTGAACTGTTGGATTTGTTCATGTTGTTGAGTTGACGTAGAACTAATCATCTTTGTCATGAGTTTTGCGGTTGAATTACAGTTGAATTCACAGGGGTAATTTTGGAATAAAACTACCCTGAGTATACTGGACTTCCAAGGGCAAATCTGGAATGAAATTACCCCGAATATATTGTGTATGTGTTTGTAGGAATGTTATAAGCGTGCTGGCGATGATCTGAAGACGCGTTGAAAACAACACTGGAGAAAGGACCTGTGTGTGCGAGATAGCAGGAATAGTCTCGTGTGTGCGAGACATCAAAACCCATCCCGTTTGTGCGCGACAGTTGCAACTGTCTCGCTTAAAGCTTCGTCGTCGGGTTGAATTGCTTAAGTTCAAGGTTTGCGGTTCTTTTTTGCTATCTTTGCCCGCTTTTTTCAGTTCGAATCCTCTGCAATTCTTCATAAAAATAGTTTTTTAAACCCTCTTTTTTCCTTTAAACTCTCTTTGCTCTTTCAATCTTGATTGATTTTGATCTAGGGTTTCGAAGACCTCTTTGAAGAACCGATCCCTTTCCTACGTTTCTTCTCATCAAAACCCAATTTTATTTTGATCTCCAACCAAAACCAAACCTAGGGCTTTGATTTTGAATTCCTCCAAGCCTTGTTTTGAACTTCCCCCAAAACCCTAGCTTTTCTTCATCATATTTTCGGTCGAAACCCTCATTTTGATCATGTCTCTGAAGAGATCCGTTGTTTCCAAGGGTAAATCTGTTGCTCGATCATCTAAGAGAGAGGAGGTTATTGTTCCCTTCTTTGGGGGTGAGATTCTGAGATTTAACTGGTTTGAAAAATCAGAATTTTCTCGCTTGTTCTCCTTCGCGAGGCATTCGGGAAGAGCCGGTATCCTCCTTTGCGAGGATCGACGCTTAATTGGAGTGTTTTGCTTTGCCAAAACACATCCTAAAGAAAAAAAATAGTTTCACGCTATCTTGCAGTTCGTAAGACAGGGTATAATGTCGTGCAGTTCATGGGACAGTGTTCACTGTCTCACATGTGCGAGACAGTTTCCACTGTCTCGCAAACTGCAAGACAGTTGCCATTGTCTCGTAAGTTTGCAAGATCAGTATAACTATATTTTTTTGCTTAATTATGCATTTAAGAATTTTCTTTAACCGTTTTTAACACATACTCTTTTGTATATTACAGTTAACTTCCCACCCACGGGGTTTTCTCCACGTGAGGTGAGTGGTCAGAGCGGCGCAGCATATGCTTCTTCTGATGAGATGCCCATTATAAATGAGGTCCCTCAGTTTGATATAAATGGGCCGAAGGATATCCCTGAGCTTGTGAGAAAAGGGGAGTCGTCGTACACTGCGGCGACTGATCATGGATGCACCACTTACAAAGGATCAAGAATCAACTCAGCCGTTAAGAAACCCATTATATGTTCGGTGACTCCGTTAAGAATCCCGACGTTATTGTTTGTGGCTCAGAACATTGGTTAAATGAGTACGTCGGGGCCTTCAGATTCCTATCTCCGATTCCTCTGTCATTATTCATTGGTGCAACTACGAAAATTAGCAGTGACAAGGGAGATGTTGTGGCGTTTGACTAAGGACCAAGAGCAAGTACATTATGGATTCATCAGTAAGAGTAAGACTCCTAGTTCTAGTGATCGGGCCTCTATTCACGGACTTCATCCTGGGGTGTTGGGCCAGGATAGCATGCCGCAGAATGAGTTGATGATAAAGACGGATACCATGAAGAATCGTCTCGCTCGGTTGGGTAGGGAGCTGCCCGTTAAGAAGTACAGGTGCTATGGTTGGGTCCACTCTTTTGCTGATAAGTGGTGGATCAGGATGACAAATTATGTGCTCGGACGTTGGGGCAAGGAACTAAATGATAAAAGATTGTATGCCCCCATCCGAGCCAGTATGTATAGCTTCCCCATAAGTGTAAATCACTTCTTCGTCTTGTTCGAGATTTATAATCCGGATACGAATACATTTCTCACCAAGAATGGAGAGTTAGGTCTTCCTCTTCATGAGATGATGAAGATATCCAGATTACCAATGGGGGACGTGCCGTATTAAGAGTATTTTCCCACCACCCACCACCTGCCAGTTAAATCAGATGAAAGAGGCAGGCTCGGCTACATATAACATCCTGTGGAAGTTGACTTGCCACTACCATACTGTCACGACGGATATTGATGTAAAAGCAAAGAAATTCCCCCAAGTCGGCTTAAAACAATTCGCTGACTATCTCTTTACGAATCTTGAGGATTCCTCTGGCAACGAAGTCTGTGAGTTGCCCCTTTTGACCCCTTTTGATATCAACAAGCTGATAGTGAAGATTCTGGCTCAATCTTACACCACTCCCTCAGCAAAAGGCAAATTTCCAAGGGGTACAAAGTTTGAGACCTTATGGCATGCTCAAAGGAGGATAAAGTCGGCAACCCTTTTGGCGGGGTATTTAGCTATATGGTTAAAGAAGTGTGTGGTGCCGCATCAAGTCTCTGAAGCACTGCTTATCGAAGTCTTGTTCCCGACCGTCGACTTAGCAGTTGGGCGCAAGATTTCTTTACTTCCTGCGATGATCGTTGAACTCCACAGCGGGCTGCGGTACTTGGCCACCACTTTCACGCAAGAAGGAAGCAAGCCTAGCTCGTCCTCCACCGCCCTGACCTGATGACGACGCCCGAGGTTGCAGATTCGGACCTCCCTCTACTACAAATTTTGGAGGTGTAAATGGGAGGCCAAGCAATGACATGAGGTGACGAGGCAGTTCAGAACTCACAAGTGCTAAGAATATTTCAAGTGTTTTCCTCAATTCTCCAGCAATTATAACGAGCTGCTTATCGATGAGGAAGATCCCAAGAAGAACAGAACTATTTTAGATGTAGGATGCTTACGTTGGTTGATGAACATCCGCCCCGACTATCTGGTTTTCCGAGTGAAGAACACATGCAGCATTGAGCCCTACTTTCCTTGTAGGTTCACTTGTCAGTTTGGTTACGACCAACTGTATGTCGGGAACCTAAACACGAGATTGAAGATTCATGGAGGTCTCATTGATGGTGCTCGTGTATGGTTCTGGAGCATTACCGGTTGCACCAACACCAAGTTCAGCCTTCTGGTTGAAGAGTCTCAGTTGCAGATAACACTTTTATGTTGCAAATGGCTCATAGTTGCTAATGCACCTACCAAAAAGAAAAGGATCTCAAAGCTGGAAGCAGAGAAAAAGAAAGCAGCAGCACCCGCCGCCGAAGCATTTCTAGTTAAAATCTTCTGACAAAGGGAAACAAGTTGCTGACTCTGATGAGAGTGAGAAGGAACTTTTTGCAGACGTAGCTTGGAC